GCCGCGAGCAAGCGGCGGGGTGCCCGCGCGGGCGAGCAGCGGCGGCGGCGGCACCGTGTCGGGCCCCGCGCCGCTCGTCCCGGGCACTGGCGGGGCGTCGGCCTCTGGCCCAGACTGGTGGGCCTGTTTCCCACCCCCACCACCACAAGTTGAAGGGAGGAAGGAGGAGGACGCGGAGGAGGACGAGGAGGAGGAGGAGGAGGAGGAGGAGGGAAGGAGGAGGAGGAGGAGGAGGAGGAGGAGGAGGAGGAGGACCCCCTCCCCCTCCAACTGAGGGAGGCGTCGGCCCCTGTTGGAGGCCTGGAACTTGGCACCAGCACCAGCACAGGGGCTTGCCGCCACGGGGGGGAGATGATCCCAGATTCTGCCGTTGGTGGTAATATTTCGGCCACCTTGGAAGCCATAATATTACAGTGCCGTTTTTGATACATGCTCCGCGTGCGGATCATGTATAAAAAATGCAGGGGTTCAGTACTAAAACAACGACGAGTTCATGAATACATTTATTTATGAATTAGCCATGTATTAAACATCTTATATGCTTAAAAATCATTTGTATTAAAAACTGCCCTGCACCACCGTCACCGAGACCGGGATCTTCCTCCCTCGGTGGAGTCACGCCGCCGATGCTGGTGCTGGTGTCAACCGCGAGGCCTGCGACTCTGGCCCAGACGACTCGGCACATATCGTTCCATTGTTGTATCGTTCCTGGCCTCGTTTTAAGTGAGGAGGAGAAGGTACGCTCAAGTCGGGTATGTCCCCCTACAGGCGGATTTGGGAAGAAAAGTTGAACATAGTTTTCAACATACGCCAGAAACGATGGAACATTAAAAAACAAAAGATCGTTATAGTATTTTTGAATATTCCTCCTGTAGGGGAACAGGCCCCTCCTGTAGAGGGACAGGCCCGACTCAAAGGTACGCTACGGGCTGGTGCCTCGCAGCTTGCCCAAGAAAGAGGAGGAGCAGGTTTTCTCAGAAGGTGGCGGGTCTTCTCAGAGGCCCTCGCGCCTTCCGAGGGTTTTTTTCGGCGGCTTCGGGGAAGGCTCAGAAAGCTTCTCCGAAGGCCGGAGGACTTCCGAGCCTTCTGAGATGGCTCTCTCCTTCTCATTTCCCCCCCTCGCTCGCCGCCGACAGACGACTCGGCACGCTCAAAATGGGTCGTCCGGCCCTGATTGCATCGTCGACGCTCGCCCGATGCGTTTTCTTTTGTTTTTTTTGTTTTTGCTGTTTTCTGGTTTGGAGAAGAGTTGGAATAGTAGTTATGTCGTCTGGATGGGGGATCGTGTGGGGATCTCTGGCCGGAATCGTATCTGGCATACGGTGGGGGGCGTTGGTTAAGGAATGCGCCCAGGATGCTGCAGACCCTGGAGGATTCCTTATCCACCGAGGGCGGCGGTGATGTCCATGGCCAAGCCTCGATTTGAGTTCCACCGGCCTCCAGACCCTGGATGCCTTATCTAAGGGCTCCTTATCCGAAGCCCCCACCGTAACCATGTCTGGGGACCTCTGGTCGGCATCGTGCCTGGCCCAGCTGGCGGGCGTTCTCTGTGACAGCGGCGTCGCGCTCCCCCGGGGCCGCAGCCCGCCGCCAGCGCCAGCCCATTTTTGGAGACGCGGGCCGCCGCGCGAGACAGCGGCCGCCTGCCCAGGGGCCCTCTTTTCCGCAGGCCTCGCGGTGGACACCAGCGCCGGTGTCGGTGGTGTGCCTCCACCGAGGGAAGGGGATCCCGATCTCGGTGATGGCGGTGATATTCTGGCGCCTAAGGCGACCGAGCTATTACCGCCGACACCGGAATCCAGGATCCTCTTCTCGTTGGTGTTGGTGCCTATTTTCAGGCCTTCAATTTTTTCCAGAAGGTGAAAAGTTACCCCCACCCCCAATCCCGACTCCTATCCTCGAGCCGGCGATTCGAGGGGTCGGGACAGGGGGTGGGGGTGGGTTTTCTTTTCACTCCTGGGCCCCGAGAAGCCACCCCCACCCCCAGTCTTAAGTCGGGCCTGTCCCTCTACAGGAAATTCAAGAATAGTAAAAAAATACTCCGGGGACGATTTTTGTTACCATGTTTGCCCATTTGCGGGGGCATGTTTGGAGTATTTTTTTGTTCGCCCCCTGTAGGGGGACACGCCCGACTTAACCCCCAGTCCCGACCCCCTGGGTCGCGGGTTCCAGGAATGTCGGGACTGGGGGTGGGGGTGGGTTTTCGTAGGGCGCCACATGCGAACCCTACCCCTACCCCCCACGAAGTGAACCCCACCCTCCCCGTCAGAAATCGTGGGGGGTAGGGGTAGGGTTCGCATGTGGCTCCCTATTTCGCCTTCCCATTGCTTGTCTGGCGCTGCCGCGCGGCAGAGGCAGTGCGCGCGCGCGCTCGGGCAAGCCGGGTGGCGGGCGGCATCACGGGCTGCCCGGCTACAGGGGGGGGGATCGGGCGAGTGGTGACGGGGGGGGGGCCCAAATGGGGCTTGGCATCGTTCGGACGCGTGAATGTGTTTGCGTGTTTGTGTGTGTGTGTGTCTGTGTGTGTGTGTGTGTGTGTCTGTGTGTCTGTGTGTGTGTGTGTGGGTGGGGGGGGGGCGTGCGTGCGTGCGTGCGTGCGTGCGTGCGTGTGTGCGTGCTTGCGTGCGTGCGTGCGTGCGTGCGCGTGTGTGTGTGTGTGTATGTTTCTTTCGGCGAGGACCACCGAGGAGCATCCTGAATCATCGAGCATCACAAAAAATAACAAGCAGGGGGCCCTCAAGGGGCCCTTTGGGGCCCTGGGGGAGCCGGCCGGGGCCCCCCAGGGGCCCTGAATGGCTCCTTCAGGGCCGCTTTTCGTCACCCCCCATGTCCCCTGACCTTCCAGAGTGCCAAAAAATTCGCCGGCCCAACGGGTCAGAGGCGGTGCTAAGATCTCCGGCAACTGGTTAACAGTATTTCTAGTTCGCGCGCGCGGGGCGGCCCCTGGGGGTCCCCAGGCGAAAAGTGCCCTTGGCAAGTCCCGGGAGGGTCGGGTCAGAGATGCCGGACAAGGCAATGATTCGACACCCTTCACGAGGATCGTGGCCTCCGAGGGGGGAGCCGCAATCGACTACCCTCCCTCCCTCTCCAAGAGGCCCACAAGAGCCCCCCAAGAGGCCCTGGGGGCCCCCAGGACGCCGCCAAGGAGCCCCAAGAGACTCCCAAGAGGTCCCCAAGAGGCTCCCCAAGAGGCCCTGAAGAGGGCTCCAGGGCCGGCGGAAGGAGCGACGCGATGAAGTAACGCTCCAGACCTATAGACCTATCTGGACCGCCTCAGACCTCGACAGGAATCAGTCAGGAAGGGAAAAAACACGCAGACACTATAAATCGTCGATTCCCAGGAAAGTGCGGGAAAATATGGAAAGTGGGGGGAAGACGACAACCCAGAAAATATGGGAAAATATTGGGAATCTGGTTATTTGTGTGTATTTATTTGTGTGTCCCAGGGCCCCTTCAATCAGGACGTCGACGTCCTGGTGCTATTTTTGTTTGCCCTCCTGGAAGGTCAGGGTCGGTCGCCCCCCCCCCCCTTGCCACCCGCGCGAGGGAGGAGAGGAGCGGCCGCGGGAGGAGGGGAAGGAACCAATGTTAAGTCGGGCCCGTCCCTCTACAGGAGGAGCACTCACAAATACTAAACCAAAATAGTCTGGGGACGATGTTTGGTTACTTGTTGTAGTATTTAGGAGCATGAGTATTCAAAAATACTTGAAAGAATAGTCTGAGGACGATTTGTGGTTACTTGTTTTAGTATTTAGGAGCATTTTTTCTGGGCATTTTTTATGTTTCCACCCAGAATCCCCTTGTAGTCGGGGGCGGCAAAGGGGGGGGGTGAGGACTAGGGGGGGCGGGGTGGATATCATGGCGCGGGCCATGAAATTTCCCCGGATGTCATGGCGCCTCCTCTCATTTCAGTACGTCCCTGGCCCCCCCGCTGGGCTGAGCCGCGCACATGCCGCCGGTCATGATTTGCAGCCCCCCCCTCTTGGACACCCCCCTCTTGGCCGCTCCCGACAGGTGCGGCCTCCTCCTCCTCCTCCTGCTGCTCCTCCTCCTCCTCCTCCTGCTCCTCCTCCTCCTCCTCCTTGGCCGCTCCCGATGTAGGGGGACAGGCCCCGGCCCAAGACGAAGGCGCTCACGCATCGGGGGGGCCGCAGCGGGGGGCCGGCCCGGGCGGCCGAGGCGGCGCTGCGAGGGCCGCCCGAGAGAGAGAGAGAGAGCGGCCGCGGTCGACTTCGGGCAGCTGTTGCTAAAGCAGGGCTAGGATCGGGATAAATCGCTCCACAGCGTCGGAATCGGCAAAAAAACGGCGTCGGAACTTATAAAAAAACTGCAAAACGGAACCGGTAAAAAACAGCCCTGTCGTTTCCAGGGCCCACTATAAGGTCGGGGCCAACGTCCGTTGCCACGCCCGAGCTGGCTGCTGCGCAAAGCAGGCGCGGCGCCCCTCAGCGACGGCTGCCCGAAGTCGACCGCGGCCGCTCTCTCTAAAACAGGGCTAGGATCGGGAAAAATCGCTCCAGAGCGTTCCGGAGCGCTCTCAGAGCGTTCCGGAACGCTCTGGAGCGGCCGCGGCGCCCAATACATCCTCGAAGCCCGCCGCTTCTCAGAGATTTCGAGTTATCCCGATCCGATTTTGTCCCGATCTTCGCGTCATTTTAGTTGCTGCGGGGCGCCGCGCCTGTTTTGCGCAGCCAGTTCGGGCGTGGCAACGGACGTTGGCCCCGACTCAAACGACGCGAAGATCGGGACAAAATCGTTTCGGGATAACTCGAAATCTCTGAGAAGCGGCGGGCTTGGAGGATGTACTGGGCGCCGCGGCCGCTCCAGAGCGTTCCAAAACGCTCTGTGAGCGCTCCGGAACGCTGTGGAGCGATTTATCCCGATCCTAGCCCTGTTTTAGAGAGAGCGGCCGCGGTCGACTTCGGGCAGCCGTCGCTGCGGGGCGCCGCGCCTGTTTTGCGCAGCAGCCAGCTCGGGCGTGGCAACGGACGTTGGCCCCGACCTTATAGTGGGGCCTGGAAACGCCAGGGCCGTTTTTTTACCGCTTCCGTTTTGCCGTTTTTTTACTAGTTCCGACGCCGTTTTTTTGCCGATTCCGTCGCCGTTCTTTTACGGCTTCCCGCTCCGGTTCCAATATTGGAACCGTTTTTGTTGCCGTTTCTTGTGGCCGTTTTCTTGCCGTTCCCATTTCAAGGGGCATTTTTTCGGAAACGGTGAAAATACAGCCCTGCCGTTTCCTGGGCCCGTGGCAACGGACGTTGGCCCCGACGATTCTTCCGTCCTGGCTCGCTTGCAGCCCCACCAAGCAATGTTCCAAGACCCTCTTGCGGTTTCCACGAGTTGGAGCATTTCTGGCGGAGTCGGTCCTGTCTTACCACACCGGGTTTATGCTATATGAACATTGTTTTTGTTATTCGAACATTTTTGCGTTCTAAGAACATTTCGTGGTAGGACTGGGACTATAGGAATGCCGGGGCTGTCGGTCCCTGCTCAATCGACTCTTCCGGCTCGTCCTCCACTGAGATCCGGGCGATGCTGCTTTTTCGCAACGGGCGTTTTCGCTCACTTTCGGGCCCCTGGACCCTCACCGATCGGTCCGGCTCGAAACATGGCGCAGGAAGGTGGGGCCAGGGGCTCCGCGCGTGATTTTTGGCGATGCTGCAATTTTGATGCCACGTCGGATCTGAGAGTCCTCCCCTGGGCCTGGTTGCGCGGCGCGGCCGCTGCCCCCAGTGCCTCGGGGAGCGCAAGCTTGTGGAGGAGACCGCGGGGCGGCGCTGCGAGTGCAGCGGCGTCGGCGCGAAGCCCGCGGGGCGGGGGAGCGCCTTAGTCTGCGGCGTCTGCCGCGGCGAGGGGGAAGCAATGCGTGTATCCAGGGGCGCCGATGGCCTCCATCCCTCTCGGCGGGGGTCGCGGCCTGCGAAACACAAGCGCGCGAGGCTGACACACGCGCGGGACGTGGACGTCCGAGCGATGGCGGGCTGCCCGGCGAGGCCGGGGAGGTCCCCGGCTGCGCTCAGCATCGTTTGGCCGATCCCTATCCCCTTCTCCGTGCTCGTCCAGATCTCCACCATCCCACCCTAGTTGGGGATATCCGCCTCGAAGCTCGAAGGGAACAGCCTATATCGGCCAGTGGGGCCCAGGCAACGCCCGCAGGAATAGGGATCGGTTCAGCGATGCTCATGCGTGCCAGGTAGGTCTGAAACTGGAGCATATCTACCTTACAAGGGGCGGGCTCTGTTTCAATCCCATGACTTTCTGAGGGTCGGGGACGACGACAGGGCGGCGTGGTGTTTTCTTGTTTCCCTGTTTTCCGTAGAAAACAGGGAAACATGTAAACACCAGGACCCCGTATGCACCAGGATTCGCTTTCCTGTACGAGTTCCAGTGTGGGGCCGGAAGAACTGCGCTGGTTCATAGAGCTCGGCTCTTCGGTAAGGCTGCAGCCCAGGACAAGCGTTACGCCGGGCGTGTCCCTCTACAGGAGGAAAGTTCAAACATAGTCAAAACACAGTACGGGGACGATTCTTAAACATAATGCTTGACCATTTTGGGGTAGACGCCTGCAGGGGATATATCACCGACCTACGGCCGGGCGAGCGCCCCCGCGGCCCTCGCCCAGGACTGGGAGCGGCGAACTCTGTGGTTGCAGGACGCTGCCAGGACCGCGGGGTCCGGGGGGGGGGTGCGGCTGCCGGGCAGGGCCCACGTCATCCGATCGATCCGATTCGACCTCCAGCCCGGCCGGCCCGACCTGCTTCGATGCCGTTCTCGTTCTCCCGACGATCCGATGCGGCCCTGTGTGTGTGTTGCGTGGCGCTGTTGTGCGATCTGGCGAGGCTGATCCGATTCGATCTCGACTCCGTACCGATGCGGCCCGAGCCGACGCACACTCCGATTCGATCCGAGGCGGGAGGAGGAGGAGGAGGAGGAGGCGGAGGAGGAGGAGGAGGAGGAGGAGGAGAAGGAGAAGAAGGCAGGTCTAGGAGGAGGAGGAGGAGGAAGGTCGAGGCGGGGGGACACATTCGAAGAAGAACAGCGGGCGGAGCCCCCGCCGGCGGGCCCCCCCTTGGCGGCCCGCGCGCGCCAGGGAGGGAGGTCCGGCGCCGGGCCAGGACGTCCACGCGGCCCTTGGGAAGTTTGTGTCCGTGCAGTGGTGCCGCTCCTCCAGGAAAGGGAGCAATCACGTAGGAACACGGAGGGGGGAGGGAAGGGAAGCAAGAGCACGGGCGGGGGGAGCAAGGTCGAAGAAGGAAAACGCCACAAGGGGAGCAAGGTCGCAGTTTTCTGTACAAGGCGTTGCTTTGCAAGCACATCGTCTTCGGCGCCGCCTGATTCCGGGGCCTTGCCCCCTCCTGGCCTTGACGTGAGGCCGCTCCTTCGACCCCCCCCTTTTGTGAATTAAAGCTGTGCGCGGCCCGCTTAGCTTCGACCGGAAGAGGTGCGCTCTCGACCCGCGGATCAAAAAAGTCCATGCAGTTTTGTCGCTCCTCCAGAAACGGAGCAATCACGTAGGAACACGGATGGGGGAGGGAAGAGGGAAGCAAGAGCACGGGCGGGGGAGCAAGGTCGAAGAAGGAAAACGCCACAAACAGAAATTGTGGCGCGCCGCGCGGATTTCTTGGACCGGCGCTGGGCCTCCCCCCGCGCTCCGCGCGCCAGGGAGGGGGCCGGCGCGGATCCAAGAAGTCCGCGCGGATCACCAACAGTTGATGTTTATGGTATTTGTTTTTCTTCTACCTTTTGGAGGAGGAGGAGGAGGAGGATGAGGAGGAGGAGGAGGGAGGAGGGGGCAGGAAGGGGAGAAAACGGGGGGAGGGCGATGGACGAAGTCGTTCCCACAGGCCCCCTTCCCTCTTTCTCGTGCCCGTCGCCCTCGAGAGGATCCCCATGAGGAGCTGGCGTTCTCCCCTCCTCCTCCTCCTCCTCCTCCTCTCCTCCTCCTCCTCCTCCTCCTCCTCCTCCTTCGTCCTCCTTCTCCTCCTCCTCCTCCTCCTCCTCGAGCTTGTTGTGTTGGGCTCGTTTGTCACCGCCACCACCATAAGTTGGAGGGGGGAAGGACGAGGACGAGGAGGAGGAGGAGGAGGAGGAGGAGGAGGAGGAGGAGGAGAAAGAGGAGGAGGAGGAGGAGGAGGAGGAGGAGGAGAAGGAGGAGGGTGGGCCCGGACGCTCGGGGCCCTGGACGAACGGAGGGAGGAGTGGATGCATTCGGTCGGCAAGTCATGGGAGCCTGCTGTACCCTCTTACGTTACTGCGCCTTCAGCGTCGATTAGGGTCGATTAGTATTTGGAGTCGATGCGGCAGTGCCGATTTAGCGTCAGTTAGCGTCGATCAGCGTCGATGCAGCGTCGATTAGCGTCGATTGAGCGTCGATGAGCGTCGACTCGTAAGGGCCGACAAGACGGTACGGGAGGCCCCCACTGGGCTGCCACCGAAGAGGTGCGGCTTCCTTTCCTTGCGCCAGCGTCTCTCTTCTTCCATGGCCTTCGGCAGCGGGGCGGCCTCTGGGAACACCAAAAGGTACCGATACCGCTACTCCCCAGACCTCTCCTGGGATGCGCTCTGATCAGGACTTCGAGGCGAATCCAGCGGTGGCGACGAGGGCCTCCCATGAGGCCCGAAATGAGGAGAGCGAGGGCTTTCTTCGGATGCAGCTCCTGGGAGGTCGAATTCTGACTTTGCCCTGGTCCGCAATCTGGCTTGATCCCGCTTAATCCGGCTTAATCCGGCTCAATCCCGCTGAATCCGAGGCCCACTCCGGCGTAATAGCCCCCAGATGGGGCTTAATCCTCCCGAATCTTTCTGACGAAGACCGCCCAACAGTTGCCTCCTAACCTTTCCCTCCTCCGAGTCTCTCTGTGATTGTTCCACTCCCTCCCCCCGCCGCGCGCTCTGAAGGAAGGCCGAGGAGGACATGCACGGCCTGCAGGCGGCGCTCGGGGAGCAGGAGAGCGCCCGCGGTTTGGCGCGGCGAGCCCCAGGGGGGGGAGTCGTAGGGGGGGCGGGCCTGCTCAGGAGGAGGAGGAGGAGGAGGAGGAGGAGGAGGAGGGGGAGGAGGTGGAAGAGGAGGAGGAGGAGGAGGAGGAGGAGGAGGAAGGAGGAGGAGGAGGATGAGGGGGAGGAGGAGAAGGATGAGGAGGAGGAGGAAGGGTCTTCTCAGATGGCTCGCAAGGCCTCCGTCCGGCCTCCTGACAAGCAGCCCGAGCTTTGTCCGAGGGCAGAAGCGGCGTCTCGGGCGGCTGGGGGCTTCTGACAAGCCCCGCCAGCTTATGACGTGGGCTGCCCCCTCTCGCTTCCCCCCGGAGTCGCCGCCAATACACATCATGTGGTTTCCACGCACCCTTCTGCATTCTTGTAGGCGCGTCTGTTACGCAGCAGTTCGCCGCGTGGGTCGCACCGTCTGTCTTTTCACTATCTCGTGCAGACGGCGAGGACTTCGGCGGATGGGTCCAATGTCTAGACGTACGGCATGCTGTCTTTGTCCTTCATTGGCCAGCGGTAAAAGGAGAGCGAGGTCGGAGCACTGTTACGGCAATTGGCAGAGGGACCTGAGATTTCACATACAGAGTTGACCGTCAATCTGAGGGTTCGTATGGCGCGCGCGTCCGCATACAATGATCCAGCTATTGTTTGAGGCGAGAGACATCACTATGATAATGCCCGCTCCATGCTCCACCCCTAGCAATTGCCACACGTGTCTACGCTGCTGATTTGGGTATAATAGGAGATGGATGAATAAGCCTCCCATCAGCCCTAGTTGGCGGAGCCGGGCAACTTGGTTTCCCAAAAGGGAGACAACCAAACGATGCCGCGATATTGCCAGCACGTTTTTACATAAACAAGAAGCCGTCACGAGCAATACACACACATGAAACAAGCATCTTGCAGAACATTAGACAGCGCGGGAAGGTCAATGGAGGACAGGGCCTTGTTCCTGCTGGGCGAGGGAGGTCCTGGAATTCAGAACTTCACGCTTCAACAGCGAGAGTACAGATGGTTCGTGTAATGTACTGCTGGCTGTGAATAAGAGCCAGATGTGGATTCGGCTTCTGTATCCTCATTCATCTTCTCCTCCGCCGCCGAGTTCTCCTCAGTAGAGCTCGGATGTGGGCTTGGCCGCGATCTCGATCCCGAAAAGAGCTTGCGCCTTAGCCCAGCGGCATCGAGTATCGAATTCATGGCACGCGTGTTCGCCAGCGGTCTACATCTACGGGCTGAGTGTGTTGGTCCTTGGATCCTTGGGACCCTCCAGAGGTACGTATGGTGATTCAATGGGCTGAGGATCCTCATGTCCTTTCGGCTGTCCGATTTGCAGATATCTTCCATGCACTTTGTGGCAGGGAGGCATTATTCTTTGTGGATTGTATCATTGGAACGCCCCATGGCGATTTGGGTATGCCTCATACCGCTGCTCCTCCTCCATTGTTTCTTCTCCTCGTCATCCTCCTCTTCCTCGTCCACTCCTCCTCGCATATGCTATTCCTGGGTACCATATTGGTTGGATCGCAGATGCGCAGGTCCAGGTGGCGGCCGACTGCTGCTACGGCATCCCCGGATCTTCAGCTGATCCCCAGGAGATGAGCCAGCCTCAGCATAGATCTCCTGGACCGAAACTGCGTGTACCGGGAAGTCGAACCTGCTTCCCCCCCAAACCCAAAAAATTGCGTGCATTGGGAAGTCGAACCTGCTTCCAACAAGAACGACAACGAACAGCGTGTACTGGTGTTTGTTAAAAGCAGGCTCGACTTCCCAACACACGCATGTTCAGGGCCCTCCCTGAACGTCTGCTGTTTCTGCTGACGAGAATATCCTTCTCCCTGGCGGCTGCGAGCGTGCCTCCCCGGCGTGCGGCGGGGGGGGGGGGGGGCGACTCGCGCCTGGGCCGCCTGGGGATGCTGCTCGGGCAGGGCGCATTCCAAAGACGGTGCCGCCGCGCATCGTGACGTGAGCAGTGGGATGGGGGGCGTGGGGCGGGGGGGAGAGACCAGGCCACAGCCGCTCTCGCGAAGAAATTGGGAAAAGCATTCCACGTTTTTGTATATACGGCGAGCCCTCGAGGAAACACTGCGCACACGAGGAGTGAACTCCGTCAGAGCGCCCGGCCCAGGTTCGGGGGCGGCAAAGAGGGGGGTGATGATTAGGGGGGGGTGGATATCATGGCGTGGGCCATGACATCTCCCCAGATCGCATGGCGCCCCTTCCTATCTCACGACGCTCCCTGGCCCCCCCGCTGGGCCGCGCACGTGCCGCCGGTCATAATCTGCACCCCCCCCTCTTGGGCTCTTGGGCGCCCCCCTCTTGGCCGCTCCCGACAGGTGCGGCCTCCTCCTCCTCCTCCTCCTCCTCCTCCTCCTCCTCCTCCTCCTCCCTCCTCCTCCCCCTGCTCCTCCTCCTCCTCCTCCTCAGCCTCCTCCTCAGCCTCCTCCTGCTCCTTCCCCTCCTCCTCCTCAGCCCAAGTGCGGCGTGACCTGAGGCCTCGGAAGGCATGCCCAGGGCCCGGCGCGCGGCGCGCGCCGGCGCTTGCGCGCGCCAGGAGCAGCGCGCGGCGGGCGCGGAGGCCGCCGTGGCCGCGGCTGGCGCGAGACTGTCCCAGCTGGAGTCCCTGCTGGAGGCGGGCGGCGGGCGCGTTTTTGTTACGGCATCGTCCTCGTCCTCCACGGTTGTCTTCCAAATTAGTCCTCCTCCTCCTGCTCTTCCTCCTCCTCCTCCTCCTCCCTGCCTCCTCCGCCTCCTCCTCCTCCTCCTCCTGCTCCTCCTTCTCCCTCCCTCCCCCTCCTCCTCCTCCTCCTCCTCCTCCTCCTCCTCCTCCTCCTCCTCCTCCTCCTCCTCACACGCGCAAGGTCGAGTCATATCCTGTCTTGTCCGCTTCCTTATGCGCCACGCGGTACACGCTGGCCTGCCAGCTGTCCGAAGGCGGCGTCTGCGCCCCGCCCGCCACGCCCTGAGGTTCCCCGCGGACCTCTCGGGCTGCGCGGGGCCGCGCAGCGCCCAGACGCTGGAGGAAGCCGTCCATCAGTTTCGATCGTTCCTCCTCCTCTACCTCCTCCTCCTCCTCCTCCTCCTCCTCTCCTCTCCTCCTCCTCCTCCTCCTCCTCCTCCTCCTCCTCCTCCTCCTCCTCCTCCTCCTCTCGGTTGGGGCCAGGACCGGGATAGATCGTTCCAGGGCGTTCTGGAACGAGGGCTCTCGTCGGAGCGTTCTGGTGCGTTTCGGGCCCCATTCCGCGGCGGCGCAGCGCCCGAGAAATCTTTTGCAGAGCTGCCATGGTTCAAAAACACCATCTGTCTAGGTTCCGTTCTGTCTCGGCCCCGGTTTCGTTTGTCTTCCTCTTTCTGATTCGGTCCGGGCTGTGGCTCGGGGCGCACCGAGGCTTTCCCCTCGATGCCGGTGGCTTCTTTTGCGCGGGAGGGAGGGCGCCCTGTCGCGCCTGGTCGACAGGGGGCACCGCATAACCGCACGCGACGGATAAGAAGCCATCCCTGTAAGATGTGAGTGTTGATTATTTCCCGCCAGTACAAGTTTGGTCGGGGGTGGGGAGCGGCGGGGCAGAAGTTCATCATCATGGGTTTATATACGAATCGCATTTTGAATCTTACCGCATCATCATCACCAGCATCACGATTACCAGCACCACTGATCATCAACTGCACACACTACCACTACTGCTACTACTACTTTCACAACTAGTACTGGTACCATTCGTTTTACTAGTACGACTACTACGACAACTACGATTACGACTACGACTTGTGATTTACGATCATTCTTAACTATTACTAGATCTGCTACTACTACTACTACTACTACTACTACTGCTATTACTACTACTACTACTCCTACTACTACTACTGCTACTACTACTTCTACTTCTACTTCTACTACTGCTACTGCTACTGCTACTACTACTACTACTACTACTACTACGACTACTACTACTACTACTACTACTACTACTACTACTACTACTACGACTACCACTACCACTACTACTACTAAGACTACTACTACTACTACTAGTACGACTACTACTACTACTACGACTACTACTACTACGACTACTAGTTCTTCTACTAGTACTACTAGAACTACTACGACTACGAGTACGACTACTACGATTACTACTACTAGTACGACGGCTACGACTACTACTACTACTACTACTATTACTACTACTACTACTACTACTACTACTACTACGACTACTACTACTTCTACTACTGCTACTACTACTACTTCTACTACTGCTACTACTACTACTCTTTCTACTACTACTACTACTACTACTGCTACTATTACTATTTCTTTGACTGCTGCTCCGACCACTGCTACTACTACTACTACTACTACTACTACTACTACTACTACCGATAATACTACTACTACTACCACTACTATTACTACTATTACTACGACTACTACTACTACTTCTACTACTGCTACTACGACTACTACTACGACTACTACTACTACTACTACTGCTACTACTTCTACTTCTACTACTACTACTATTACGACTACTAGTACGATTACTAGTACTACTACTATCACTACTACTACTACTGCTACTACTACTACTACTTCGATTACTACTACTACTACTACTACTACTACTACTACTACTTCTACTACTACTACTACTACTACTTTTACTACTACTACTACTACTACTGCTACTATTACTCTTTCTTTGACTGCTTCCACGACCACTACTAGTACTACTGCGATTTCTCCTGTGACGACCATACTACTGCGACTGCTACTGCTACGACTATTACTATGATGCGGAGTACGATTGGCACTACAACGATCACTACGGTTACTACTACGGCCACTACTACTACTACTACTACTACTACTACTACTACTACTACCACTACCACTACTACTACTACTACTACTACTACTACTACTACTACTACGACTACTACTACTACTAATACTAATACTACTACGGCTGCTGCCAATACTACGACCACCATTACTACTACTACTACTACTACTACTACTACTACTACTACTACTACCACTACCACTACTACTACTACTACTACTACTACTACTACTACTACTACTACTACTACTACTACTACTACTACTACTAATAATACTAATACTACTAATACTACTACTGCTACTGCTAGTACTGCTACTACGACTACTACTACTACTACTACTACTACCACCACCACGCATGCGACATCTAGTACGATTCGTAGCATGACGGCTACTACACTTACGACTACTGTTATTACGACTACTACGACTACTACCACTGCTACTTTTACTACAACTACTACTACTACTACTACTGCTTCAATTTGTACTACTACGGCCTACCCATCCTCCTCAACGTCCTTTATGCTGCGACGTGCTGGGGAAAAGTGTATCATCGTTCTTGGGCCCCGAAGGTTGCTAGCCGTCCCTGTTAATCTCAGGGGCACAGGGCTAGCCTGTTCAGCTATGGCAAAAACGGTGCTGAGCATAAATGCCAGACCTTGTTCAGCACGCCAGACTATTGTTCAACGAACAACAGACCTTATCATAATTCTACCGATTGGATCAAGAGGGCACACGCGGGGATCTTGTGATGTCTCTGCGCGTTGCCATTGACATCCTCGTTCCTCGTCGTGCATTTCTCGCACGACTTGCCGGCACAACTCGTTTATTGCCCCCCCCGCGGCCCCGACTACTATTATATTTCCCTGTGATTATTTAGTGTCCTCTGTTATAATCATCCTCCTTCTGTCCGTCCTCCACCCCTTCTTTGCTGCAGAAGATGAGGTACAAGGCGAAGGAAAAGGTGAGGAGTCATATCCAACAGGCGATCTTCCCAGGCGAATGCGCGCTGGAATTCCCAGGGTCCGCACCGCTTCACAGCACCTTGAGCTCACAACACCGGCCGAAAGCTCACAGCAAGGCTCCAAAGTTCATTTGCCTTCAGTTTGCTCCTCCTTCCTTCCCCTGTGGCATTTCCCATTTGACAAACGTGCCACTCCCTTGGCGAACTAAATCGTGCGTTGTGTCTTCTTGGACGGCGGATAAGTACGTTCCGATCGTTCCCCCCTCCTCCGTTTATCCTTCTCCGGGTTCCTCCCTCCCTCCTATGTTGTTGCAGCCTGGTGTGGAAATTGAAGGGTGGTTTTGGGTAGCGGGTCTTAGCGGGAAGGACTCTCGGGTTCTAGAGCGGGAAGGGTGTTCCTCGGGAATGGAGGAGAATGAGAATGAGAGGGGGGAAACGGGAGGGAGGATACGGAAATATTTGAGAGGTTCCTGAGTGTTCTCGATGGGTTACACATGTTTCTGGATGGCCTTCGGGGGATTCCGGAGGGAGAGGGGCGGGAGACAGGAACGGGGGAGGTTGATGGGAGTATACGCCAGTCGTTGAAAGTAGGTATGTTTGGATTCCCAGATCCCAATCTATTTTAAGCCCCTTCCTACTACAAGAATCGACACGCTTTTGCTGTGTTTTGTTATTCTCTGGGGGGGCCTGGACCCAATCAACTTCATCCGCCTTCCGGCTTCATGTTTTTATCTACTTCTTCCGACCGACGTGTAATGGAGGATGACGATTACAAAATGACCAGGGGTCGTGTTCACGAGGCGGCGCCCGGGATGACGATTCGAAAACACCGGCCGCGGGCCGGAAGACTATCTTTTAATCGTTCGCTTCCAGTCAGATGGTGCAGAAATAGCAGAAAACTACTATTTTAATCGTTCTCTCCCATGTTTTAATTAATCGTCATCCCGCATTATGGGAAATATGGAGGAGGAGTTGGAATAGGCGGGGGAGGACCAGCACGCACATGGCATGACGGTTGAGCCTAGTACCAGCCATCGCATTGCCAGCGGGCCAGAAGGGCAGCGCGTCTCCCTGTTTGCCGGGAGAGATTCTTCGTCCTCCTCCTCCTGCTCCTCCTCTTCTTCCTCCTCCTCCGCCTCCTCCCTCCCTCTCCCCCTCCCTCCCTCCCCTCCCTCCCTCCGTCCCTCCCTCTTCCTCCTCCTCCTCCTCCTTCTCCTCCTCCCTGCGTCCTGGCTTCGTCTTGGCACGCTCCTCGTCCCTGGGCTCTCCCCCGGAGAGGGCCTCCGAGCTCCCCCTCGATCGGGGGTGGATAGACCTCCTACCCTGACACGTCGATTCATGAATTGGCCGTGTTCGGTTCGCGAGAGTGCGTCGCGGCCGTCATTTTTGCGGGTCCAGGTCCGCGGCGTTCGGTCCCAGGCCGTTCTCATTGAGGGGAGGTTTACGAAAGGGAGGTTTGTCCACCGCCGATATACACCGTCTTTCGGAGGGTCGGTTTGGAGCTGCTGAGGGCACTCTTTCTCGAGTGGCTCCGCCGAGCACCTGCGCCCCAGGCTTAGCGGGCCCTGGAAACGACAGGGCCGTTTTTTGTTCACCGGTTCCGTTTTGCCGTTCTTTTGCATGTTCCGACGCCGTTTTTTTACGGGCTCCGTCGCCGTGCTTTTACGGGTTCCCGCTCCGGCTCCAATCCTGGAGCCGTTTTTGTTGCCGTTTCCGGTCGCCGTTTGTTTTTGCTGTTTCCATTTTCAAGGTTATGATGCTCCAACCTACTTTAGCCTTGATCACCAGGAAGAAACTCGAGCGCCCAAAAAAGTACCGAAACTCAAGGGTTTTTGCGTGTCGGGCCCTGGGAGACACTCGCCCGACACTGTTTCGACACTCTCTTGACACTTTCCCGGGTGCTCGAAATTATTTCTGGGATGAGGTCCTTAATGGAGGATGACGATTAATACATGACCGGGGGTCGTGTTCACGCGGCGGCGCCCGGGATGACGATTCGAAAACACCGGCTGCGGGCCGGAAGACTTTTTTCAATCGTTCTCCTCCAGTCAGAAAGTTGTGCAGAAATAGACGAAAATTGTTTTTTTTTTTTTTTTTTTTTTTATCGCTCTCTCCCATTGTCTTATTAATCGTCATCCTGCATTAAGTAGGATGGGGACAACATAATTGCAAGGGGCACTTTTTCGGAAACGGTGACAAAAACGGCCCTGCCGCTTGTCGGGCCCACTCTAAGGCCCCAGGCGTACGCACAGGAGGGAAAAGGAAGTCGCCGGCAGCGCAGCGGAGACGTAGCTAGCGTGGCGACTGCGTCGCAGAAGCCCGCAGACGCATGCCGACGTCCCCTATGCGCACGCGCACACGGAAATAGGGAAAGGGGGGGATGGGGAAAGGGGGGTAGGGAAAGGGGGATAGGGATAGGGAAAGGGGAGGAATAGGGATAGGGGGGATAGGGAAAGGGGGGGGGTACGAAATCTGCCGCATGCAGCTGATTTCGGCCCCACCGAGGGGCCCATCCCTCGACACGTGGCTGCCTCCCGGCGCCGGGAGGCGCTGGGGAAGTTAGGTATACGTGAGCTGATGCTCAAGCTCCCCCTTGGCTATATCCCCCCCTCTCGCCCGGCCCGACATATATGCGCACGCGCACGCGACACCGGGGGAAGCGCAGCGAAGCATGACGCGGCTTTCGTTTGGGAGGGGCTCCGTGTTCCTTAATCGTTTGACAGCTTGCCTCAGGTTTTCCTTATGTTTTCGATGGGAAATCGAAGCTTAACTTCTCGAGAGAAGGGGCCTCGCTCCTTATTTATCGTTCCTTAGGTCAACGCCCCGACTGTACACGCGCCATCGGACCCCACCGCCGTCCGCCATCGCCACGCGCACACCGGCAGCCGCCGCTGCCGTCCGCCACATGCGGCCTCTCCGTCTTCGAAGCGCCCCGCCTGCTGCGGACGGTGTGCTGCTCCCCGCATGCTTTAAGTCGGGCCTGTCCCCCCACAGGGGGATTTGCGACGAAAAACCAAAAATACCCTAAAAATAATCATGGGGACTATCTTTGGAGTTTTGTTTTTTGACCTTTTCGGGGTATGTTTGGGGTATTTGTTTTTATTTTTCGTCGAAAATCCCCCTGTCGGGGGACACGCCCGACATAACGCGTGCTCCTCTCGTTGTGGCCCTCGGGCCACGGAGGGATCGCGCAGCCAGGTCCTCGGATCCGGATGCAGCAGCTGTCGGCGGCGAGATCCGAGCCCTGCCCCAGCCGATCGACGACTCCGGCAACTCGACGGGTGGCGGGCTAGGGCTCGGGATTCGTCGAACGCGTTTCGAGATCCGAACCCACCCTCCGGCCCCCGTCGATCCAGGAGGGTCGATGGTTGGTGGGGGTAGGGTCGCATGTCGCCACCGAATAGGGTGATCGCACAGGCAGGCCCTCGGATCCGACGGCAGCAGCTGGTTCGGCCCAGCCCCTGCCGGTCTCTGAAGTCGTTAGTGGACCCGAGCCCGCGGGGCAAGGCCACGTATAGTCAAAACCCATAGGAAGGATGCGTTGCTTCATCAAGGCTACCCTTGCATCCCTGCTTCTTCGGCTTATCCTGAACCACTGATGGCGTCCAAGGAGCTCGAAGTGGTAAATGAGACTTCACGGGTCTTGCATCCTTACCATGGATTCTAACTATATGCAGGCTGGGCCAAGAGCTCGATGTCTGACGCCGAGGTATCTTTCGACGCCTCAGACTTCGAACGCGTTGAACAATGATGCCAACCTGCTTCCCATTTCCATGTTTGGAGTCTGGCCGTGTCCGGGTCCCGAGACCACCGGACAAGAAGCGACCAGGTCTGAACGCACCGTGCCTTGCAAGGTTAAGAGGCCCGGGGGGATGTTTTGAGCAGGGTTATGGCGCCGACTACTTGGACAGCCACCCTTACCAACTTCGCTGTTTGAGTGCCTGTTCTTTTGGTAGGTGTGATCTCAGGAGGAGAAAAAAACACACAGACACAATTGATCGTCGAAAATATGGGAAGTGGGGGGAAGACACAAACTTTCAAAATATGCGAAAATATGGGGGATCCTGTGATTTGCGTGTATTTATCTGTGTGTCCCAGGGGCCCTTCGTGATCATTGCCCCCCTGCGCGCCGACCTCCAAGGCCGCGCCCCGCCGGGCCCTTCCGCCGCACGAGGCATCGGTCAGGAGACGGAGGTCCACGCACAGGATCGCGCCGGGGCAGGGCTTCCCAGATGGTCTGGTACCGGAAATTTTCGGTAGCGATTTCGACGCACCCCGAATTTCGGTAGCGACCGGATCTTCGTTTGAGGGCGCTGACATAGCGGATTTCAGAACGCTCTGATACCGGTATTGGGCGCTACATTTCGGTATTTCGGTAGCGACCGATCTCTGCGGAGCGCTACCGGAAATTTTCGGTAGCGGACCATCAGGGTTCTGCCAGGATGTGGCGCCCGCTTATCCGTGCACACCGAGGGGTAGCAGCTCGTCGGGGCAGCATGTCAGAGTCCCTGCCCCGCGGAGCAGTTCTCCCACCCCTCTTTCGAGCAGGGGCGGGCCTCAGAGGTTCCAACGCCCTCCTGGCTGGACCTTTGGCGCTCGCACCCGCTCGGCCAGATCCCATTCGACTTCTATGAGCAAGGCCGGGTCCCAGGTATTCAGGAGGGAAGGAAACACACACAGACACAATTAATCGACGACTCCCATGAAATAGGGAAAAATATGGGAAGTGGGGGGGAAGACAAAAATCAAGAAAATATGGGGAAATATGGGGAATCTTTTCATTTGCGTGTATTTATCTGTGTGTCCCAGGGCCCCTTCATTGTATGAGCAAGGCCGGGTCCCAAGTATGGAGCCCCGATGTCGCCGATGTCAGACCGTTGCAGTCGGCCGGGCAGGTCCCAGCGACTCTTTTTATCGGTGGCGGCAAAGAGGGGGGTGATGGCTAAGGGGGGGGTGGATAGCATGACGCGGGGGCCATGGTATTTCCCAGATTTCGTGGCGCCTCTGCTTATTTCATCATGTCCCTGGCCCCCCCTTGCTGGGCCGCGCACATGCCGCCGGTCATGATTTGCCCCCCCACCTCTTGGACCCTCCCCTCGAGGCCGCTCCCGACCTTCGGTCGGATGCCGTTTAGCTTTCTGCTGCCGTCGGGGCGTCTTGGGTCTGCGGCATCCGCCGCACCACTCAAGGTCCGCACCGCACGTCGAGCTCGTCCATCCGCTGCAGCACCCAGACCAGTCCTGCCTGCTGATCCTGCACGACACCCATTCTTTTTTTGCCTTCTAATTCTCTCTCTCTCTCTGTCTCTCTCAATCGTGCTTTCCGTCACAGCTTCTTTCCCTATCTGAGGTCCTATCTATCTCTCTGCCTTTGTTTCTATGTTCCGAGATTCGTTTGCGTCGCTCTCTCTCTCTCTCTCTTTTTTGTCTCTCTCTCTCTCTCTCCCTCTCTCGCGCTCTCTTTCCGTTTCTCAGCCATCGCTATTTCTTCACACGTCAGTGACGCGCCGCGGTCACGCCTCTCACTCCTGCCGCAGTCGTCGCGTCTGCTTCAGCACCCGGCGGGCTGCAGGGCGCGCTGCGTCCTGCCGTGCTGTGCCGCAGTCGGCAGCATGCCTGCGCCAGGGCCTCGAGAGGCGGACCGCGGACCTGGGGCGCGCGATCCGCGAGGCCAATCAAGGCCCCCGCGCCCGCAGCGGAGGGGCACGCGCCCGGTGTGCGCGCGGCAGTGCTGGGCGGGTGGGCGGGCTGTCGGGCAAGCGGCGGATGTGGAGGAGGAGGAGGAGGAGGAGGAGAAAAAGGAGGAGGAGGAGGAGAAGGAGGAAGAGGAGGAGGAGGAGGAGGAGGAGGAGGAGGGGGAGAAGGGGGAGGAGGAGCAGAAAACAGGAGCATGAGCTGGGGGAGAAGGGGGAGAAGGGGGAGGCGGAGAAGGGGGAGGAGGAGGAGGAGACGGATGTGGAAGAGGAGGAGGAGGAGTAGGAGGAGGAGGAGGAGGAGGAGAGGGGGAGACACACACACACACACCACACACAACACACACACACACACACACACACACACACACACACACACACACACACACACACACACACACACACACACACACACACACACACACACACACACACACACACACACACACACATATATATATATATATATGTTGCGCTCCGCGCGGATTTCTGGGATCTGCGCTGCGGCCCCTCTGGCGGCGCCTGTGGCGCGCTCCGCGCGCCAGGGAGGGGGGTCCGGCGCGGATCCAAGAAAGCCGGGCGGGGCGCCAAGAGTTCATGTTTATGCCGTCCTTTTGTTCCTCTTCCAGGATGCCCAGCGGGACAGCATCTCAGGCGAGAGCACGGCCCACGCGCAGTCCACAGCTCCGTCTTGGCAGTTGGCAGCAGCCAGGCCTTGCGAGGTGGAGCCGAGGATCGAACCGAAGCACGAGGGCGGAGCCGGAGAGGGGAGGGGGGGGGCGTGGGCCAGGGAGTGCACAGCCGCGGGAGGAGCAGGACCAGAAAGGCGGGCTGAAGGGAGGAGTCGCTCGTGCGGTCGCAGGCCGGCTTAGCACGGCACAAATTCGAACGACAAAAAGGCCATAAGCATAAATTTTCTGGCGCTCCGCGCGGATTTCCGGGTTTTGCGCTGGGCCTCTCTGGCGGCGCCTTCGACGCCGCCCCTGGCGCGCTCCACGCGCCAGGGAGGGGGTGTCCGGCGCGGATCCGAGAAATCCGCGCGGAGCGCCAACAGTTTATGTATATGTATTTTTTCCGATACAAATCCGAGCCGCGCAGGGGGCGGCCATCTAGGATCAGAGAGTGCACTCGAGCTCCTGGGGGCCGAGGGGGCACACCATGCTGTTTCACAACTGGTGTGCAGGAGCCGGCGGCAGGGGGAGAAAGGAAGGAGCACTCGCCCGAGAAGCCATGAGCAGCTGCCACCATAAGGAAGGCCGCCCCCCTCCCTGAGGAGCCTGGCGGCACCCCGTGACATGGGCGCGCCCCCCCCGAGAGTGCCCGGAACGGAGTGCCGCTTGCTCGGGGGAGGTGGGCTTTCCCTGACCTTCCAGGAGGGCTCAAAAGTAACACCAGGAGAACGACTTCCTGATTTCTGTCGTGGTTTGAGGCCGTCCCGGTAGGCTTCCAGGTCTGGAGTGCTATTTTTTAGCTCTCTGGAAGGTCAGGGTTGGGAACGGAGGTCTATGGAGTTCTTATGGTCACGGCTTTCTTTGCTCGGATGCAACTCTTGGGAGGGCAAACTCTGACCTTGCCCTGGCCCGAAGTCCGGCCGAATATCCCGTTTCATTCGGTACCATCTGATTTAACCCCGCTCGGTCCGGCTTTATCCCGGTCCAAAAGTTTGGGGAGGATGTTGGCCAGTGGGGCCGAATCCTCCCCAAACCTTTTGACGAAGACCCTCTAATTGAGCTTTCATGGAGCGCTCATTGAGCAATTCATGCTTTCTTGGAGGGGAAGAGCCTGACGAAGACCAGCATCTCTTGAGAAGCTGCCTCCCAATTTTGGCTCTCGTTGAGCACCCGCCGCGCCGAGGAGCCGCGCCGCCCATTCCCCCAACAGCTGCGCGTCCCCTCCGCCCCGCCGCCCCCCCCCGAACGAGGCGCGTGCGGCCTCGCCGCCGCGGTGGACGCCCAGTCCTGGCGCGCCGCCGACTGCAACCGGGCGGCGGAGAGGGGCCGGAGGGAGAAGGAGCCCCCGGGGGCGTGCAGGAGCTAAGTCGGGCCTGTCCCCCTACCTACAGGGGCATTTTCGACGAAAGATTTACAAATATGCCAAGAATGCCCCAAAAGTGTCAAGACATGTTCAGAATTAGTCCCCAGACTAGTTTGGGACCCTTTTTCCTAACTTTTGGGGGTCTTTTCCACTTTTATCGAAAATCCCCCTGTAGGGGGACAGGCCCGACTCAATGCAAGAGGGGGGGCATTTCGCCACCGGGCGCGTTCCGCTGCTCGCAAAAGGGCCTGCTCGCGGCCGTCCTGAGGACAAAGGCATTTTCGCCCGGATGCAGCGGGTCGTAACCCTCCTCGGCGGAGCCGGGCCTGTTGCGAGTGGGGTTACTTTCAGGAGGGGAAAAACACACAGACACAATTAATCGTCGACTCCCCAGAAAATATAGGAAAATGTGGGAAGTGGGGGGGAAGACAAAAACCCAGAAAATATGGGAAACTATGGGGAATCTGTTTATTTGTGTGTATTTATTTGTGTGTCCTGGGGCCCCTTCACACTTGGCGGGTAGTGGAGTGCGCTCGTCTGCCTCGGTGCGTCCCTGACTCAGGGAGCAAGCCATGACATAAGCACAAATAGAGCTCTGAGGTCCGCGCGCCGATCCGGGGATTTCGGTGCGGAGCTCCGAGATTTGATGTCTATGCCATTGCTTGTTCAACCAGGTACCGTTGTTTGACTCTAACCAGTGCTCTCCCTCCCTCCCAACTGAGCAAGAAGTCTGGGAAGAAACTGGGGGCTCCTGTCCCAATGTGACTTCTACACGGTTCGAAGCACCCCATTCGAATGTGCGTCCGACTCCCGGTTTTAGCACCAGTTTACGGCCCCCTGAGCTCACAGCACTGGCCTGAAGCTCACAAGAGCGGCGAGCGATGGGGGGAAGTAAAAAGGGGAAGGCCTTCTCAGGAGGTTCTGAAGCCCCCCGGCCTTCTGAGAAGATTTCTGAGCCTTCCCCCAAGACGCAACATTTTTTTAGAAGGCCAGCGGGCTTCTGAGAAGCCCCGCCTTCTGACACGGCCCTCTCCTTCTCACTTCCCCCCTCGCTGACCGCAGGTCACAGCACTGGCCTGAAGCGCACCAGCCTCAATTTCGTGAGCGTTCCAGGGGGAGACGAGCACCAGGGGGGGGATATCATGTCCAGAGCCATAGGGCTTCTTTCGAACAAGAAAAAACGACAGAAACATACACATTTGACGCTCCGTACGGGGCGCCAATTTTTTGTATGTTTGTGGCGTTTTTGTTTCTTTTATTCGTGTAAGTCGGGCATGTCCCTCTACAGGAGGAATGCTCAAGAATAGTAACAAACATAGTCTGGGACGACTGTTCGATTATTTTGACGATCTTGGATGGTCGTAGTTGATGATTGTTTCTTGCGAAACCCGCCCGTAGGAGGACGTGCCCGACCTAACGATTCTCCGACCTTAGATCTCATCGCCAATTGCTCCTCTTTCAACACGTTGGGATGCAACTCCTGGGAGGTCAAATTCTGAAGTTGCACTGGTCCGAAGTCCGGCTCAATCCGGCTTGATCCCGCTGAATCCCGCTTGATCCGGCTTACTTCGCCTAATCCGAGGCCTTCTCTTGCGCAATAGCTCCCAAATGGGACTTATAATCCTCCTCAGGCCTCCCGGCGAAGACCTCCCAAAATCACGTTCCCAATCTTCCCAGAACATCCTCCCGACGAAAACATCCTTCATCCTCCTCCTTTCCTCCACAGTCTTTCCGACGAAGACCTCCAAACGGGGCTTAATCCTCCTCAATCCTCCCGGCGAAAACCTCCTAAAACACGTTCCCAGTCTTCCTAAGACCTCCTTCCGACGAAGACCGCCTTACTCCTACTCCTTTCCTCCTCAAATCCTCTTCGATCCTTCCCTCAATCCTCAAATCCTCATTCAATCCTCCTCCTCTCCTTCCCTCCTCCTCCATCCCCCTCCATCTTCCCGACGAAGACCTCCAAACGGGGCCTCGTCCTCCCCAGTCCTCCCAGGAGCTGCCTCCTTCATCCTCCTCCTTCCCTCCTCCCGAATCCTCCCCCTCCCCTCCTCCTTCAGAATCCTCAGAGCCTCCTTCATCCTCCTCCTCTCCTCCTCCTGAATCCTCCCCCTCCCCTCCTCCTTATAAGAATCCTCAAAGCCTCCTTAAATCCTCCTCCTCTCCTCCTCCTGAATCCTCCCCCTTCCCTCCTCCTTCTAAGAATCCTCAAAGCCTCCTTAAATCCTCCTCCTCTCCTCCTCCTGAATCCTCCCCCTCCCCTCCTCCTTATAAGAATCCTCAGAGCCTCCTTAAATCCTCCTCCTCTCCTCCTGCCGAATCCTCCCCCTCCCCTCCTCCTTATAGGAATCCTCAAAGCCTCCTTAAATCCTCCTCCTCTCCTCCTCCCCTCCCCCTCCCTCCTCCTTATAAGAATCCTCAGAGCCTCCTTAAATCCTCCTCCTCCCTCCTGCCGAATCCTCCCCCTCCCCTCCTCCTTATAGGAATCCTCAAAGCCTCCTTAAATCCTCCTCCTCTCCTCCTCCCGAATCCTCCCCCCTCCCTCCTCACTATAAGAATCCTCAAAGCCTCCCTAAATCCTCCTCCTCTCCTCCTCCTGAATCCTCCCCCTTCCCTCCTCCTTATAAGAATCCTCAAAGCCTCCTTAAATCCTTCTCCTCTCCTCCTCCCGAATCCTCCCCCTCCCCTCCTCCTTAAGAATCCTCAAAGCCTCCTTAAATCCTCCTCCTCTCCTCCTCGACCCTCCCGGGAGCTGCCTCCGAACACGCGCGCTCCCCTTCGACTCCCCGCCCGCGCGCGCGCGCCTCGCGCCGCCAGGCGCCAGCTCCCCCCCCTCTCGCGCCGGCCCCCCCCCCCTCCTCCCCCCTCCTCCTCCTCCTCCTCCTCCTCCTCCTCCTCCTCCTCCTCCTCCCTCCTCCTCCTCCTCCTCCTCCTCCTCTCCTCCTCCTCCTCCTCCCTCCTCCTCCTCCTCCTCCTCCTCCTCCTCCTCCTCCTCCTCCTCCTCCTCCTCCCCCCCCCCTCTGCGGCGGCGCCCGCGGGCCTCGCCGCCGCCGCCGCCGTCCCGAGGGTCAGGTCGGGCCCGTCCCCCTACAGGGGGAGTCGCGACGAAAAATAAAAGATACCCCCAAAAGGTAAAACATGCTATAAAAATAGTCTGGGGATTACTTTTGGAGCATTCTTGTACCAAAAAATTGTCCAACAATCGTCTGGGGAGCATTTTTTTCGTATTTTTGTTAGCCTTTGGGGGGTATTTTTGGGGCATGTTTATTTTTTCGTCGACGATCCCCCTGTAGGGGGACACGCCCGACATAAGGTTAGGCCGGGCCCGTCCCTCTGCCGGAGGAAGTTCTTCCAAAATTGTCAAAAAATAGCAGGCGGACGACGTTGCTACGATGTGTCTGCACGAACGAGATGGGCACGGAGAGAAGGGGCACGATGCCCAACAGCAGTTCCTGCTCATTTTGAACAGGATTCGCGGTCCGCGCCGCCGCGGCCTGTGTCCATCTGAGACAGAAGGCCGCCTGCCCAACAGCGGCCGCTGCTGGTTTGGGACAACATTTGTTGTGTTGTTCGGCACTGTACCCATTTTTGTCCGTACCCATTTCGGGCGTCCAAAATGTTTGCCTATCTTTGACTCTTGTTGGCTATTTCTTCAGTTTTCTGCCAGAAAGTCCGCCTGCGGGAGGACACGCCCGACCCGACCCGAGGGGGCCAGGGGTCGCCGGAGGCCGCTGGGCCTTCGGAGGCCTCCGAGGGCGCGCCCCGCGGGGGCCGAGGAAGGCTCGAGTTTCCTGGGCATGCTTTGATGGGAGTTTTGATGAGAGGGAGGCGGAGGAGGAGGAGGAGGAGGAGGAAGAGGAGGAGGAGGAGGGAGGAGGAGGAGGAGGAGGAGGAGGAGGAGAGAGGAGGAGGAGGAGGAGGAGGAGGTGGAGGAGGAGGAGGATCGGAGGCAGCTTTTGCGCAGGCCTCCGAGCACCGCCCAGGGTCTTTTGTGCGCCTCCGAGGGCCTCTGGGGGGCCCTCTGGGGCCTCCAAGGGTCGTTGCTGTCGTCGTCGTTGTCGTCGTCGTCGTCGTCGTCGCCGTCGCCGTCGCCGTCGCTGTCGTCGCTGCCGTCGTCTTCTTCGTCGTCGTCGTCGCGTATTCGTCTTCGTCGTCGCCTCTCCTGACGCCGTCTTCTACAGGGCCAGCGGAAGCGTCAGCTCCCAGATTATGAGGGCCTCCTCCGCCCATATCGTGGCGGGCGCGACCCTGGGAGGCGGGTCGGCGTCGTGCCTGGAGGGGTCCGGCGGGCGTTTTTGTTCCCCGGGATGGGGAGGCCAGGACGAGGGAGGGAGGATGAAGCGGGAAGGTGTTAGGTTACCAAGTGGCCAAGCGGTTGGTGAGGGTATGGTTTGCCAAGTGGTTGGCGAGATTGCATCCCTTGTTGCGATGCGTTTCAATATTTGATGCCCCGGTATCGCGGCTGACACACGTCTGGCTTAGTATTTGTTGTGGTAGCCTTCTTGTTGCTTGCTTGAACTATTCGTATGACATCATGTGGGAAGTTTGCAGGTGTAGGAGCGGGAGGCAGATGAAAGGAAGAAGGAGGAGGCGGATTAGCAGGAGCAGGAGGAGTTGGTGGATGAGGATGAGGAACAGGGATAGTGGTAGGAAGTGGAGTAGCTTCGGTTTGTGTTTTTCCTCTTCGTCCTTCTCGTCCTCGTCCCTCTCCCTGCTTCCTTCTCCTTCTTTGTTGGCATGCCGGTTCCTTTCTGGGATCACTCCGCTCGGCTGCACGACCACAGACAATCCGTTCGCTCGCTACTTCCAGCGGGGCTCCGAACGACGACTATGGTTATGTCGGGCGTGTCCTTTTACAGGGGGATTTTCGACGAAAATGAAACATACCCCAAAACTACACCAAAAAGGCAAAACAATACTCAAAACATAGTCCCCGGACTATTTTTGTTTTTTTATGTGTGGGGTATTTTTTATTT